GTTGATTCCTCTTTCCTGTATGCGATTAAACGGGCTGGGATGTAAGAGACTCCTTCCCCTCAAGACCTTTGCAGAGCTGCGTTCTTGTACATTTCCAGGCCTTGCCTGCTTCTGAGACTGCTGCAGGCACAGAGCTGTGTCATGTGGTCTGCAGAGCTGGGGTGGCAAAGAAACCTAGGGGGAGGTGGAGGGGCTGGGGTCCATGCTGCAGCCTTTGTTTTCAGAAGAATGAAAGCTTTTATTTTCAGGATCAAGAGAACAATCTTTTAAGTCTGTATTTTAAAAATCTGACCCTCGCTATGCCTGGCAACTTTACCAATATCCAAGCACTTTTAATTCCAGTCTGTACTCTGGGCCGTCTCCGTGAGGTGTGTGACCTGCTCAGTGTCACATTCGTTTGTTTTTAATGCTGGACTCTATAGCAGCTGCAGAAAGGGCAGGATGGTCTGGTGGTGGGAGTCGGGAGACTTGGGTTCTATTCCCAGCTCTGTCTTGGGCAAGTCATTTTAACGACTCCGTGCCTCAGTTTCCCACCTGTGAAGTGAGGATTACACTTGCCTCACACTGGTTTTGCGAATCTGAATTCACTCATGTTTGTAAAATGCCCTGATAGCCTTGGGTGTGAGGGGAAGAGTTGCTGAGTATTTATTTCGCTGCCTTATGCACTGTACTGCTGTACGCTGGATATAAGGGTAGAGGGGTGGATCTACAGAAAACGCACTAAGTCAAGGCTTTTTTGTTTTAATCTCTTTACAATAGGTTGTCAAAGTCATAGTCTTAAAATGTGAGCCTGAGCAGGAGAAGTTGCTGCTGTCATTCAAGTTGATGAGCAGACCTGTCTCTGAGGACGGAGGAGAACAAATTCCGAAGAAGAATCGGGAAGTGACTTATGAAACTGGACAGGTATTGATTGTAAATGCCCCCGCATCTCTTCCTGTTTCCTCCCCCTCCTGTCTGGTTACTAAGGAAAGGATTCAATGCAACTTTGAATTATTTTACTTCTAAAACCTGTCTAAAGGGTCTCACTAGATGGTGACAATGACAGCTAGGTTTTGTATTGTATCTTTTGTACAAGTGTCATCCACAAATAAGTTTTTAGAGTAAAGTAAATGAGACCGTGACTCAAACAGGAGTGTATGTTAGAGAAAATACTTATGTGAATACATTGAAATGGTCAGTCACAAGGCACTTAAAGAGACAGGGCGAGGTGCGAGGCAGGGAGGAAAGAGAGGTGAAAAGAGGCCAGTAGATGCAGAAAGGCTGTTTTGGACAGCAGGCAAATGAGGAACTAGCATCATTGCATCTCCTAGTGTGAGCCTGGCATCACGTTAGGATGCTAGGGAGGGTCTGATGCGCTTTAGAAGAGGGAGGACAAAAGAGCCCCATGAGATTATCCCAAGAGTAGAGTGTTAACTTCAGTAGCTCCTCTACATAGATTATACGGTCAGAGGGGACTTCTGTGATCATCTAGTCTGACCTCCTCTATAACACAGGTCATAGGTCTTCCCTGAAGTAATTCCTGTTGGATATGGTGGTCACATCCATTTCTCAAACTGTCATGCTGCAGTGTGCTAACAGCTGCCATGTTTTGCTTCAGAGGGAGCTGCATTTCAGTGTTAGGTAAATATTTGCCATAAAGACAATAGTTTTTAAGTGCTTCAGCATCCCTTAGGAATAAAAGACACTACCGACACATAAATACAAGTTTTACTACTGCAAGCACAGGGATGTTCTGTTTTGTTTAAATGATCTCCTCCCCATCTCCCATCTGATCAAATGAATTTTCCAGACTTTGACTTCTGTGATTTGTTGAGATTGTTTTATATTAAATGTGTCAGATGCTTCTGAGGTTCTCTGCTATTGGAATGAGACAGTTCCTTGTTCATAGCTGGAGGGACCTCAGAGCTGTTTACAGTCTCCCGTTACATGTCTCCTGTTCTCTGCTCAGATGGTTGACGTGAAAATCCTGAAGAAGAAAGATAATGGCCTGGAGGTTTCCATCTTGTCAGACAATGTTTCCGCCCACCTTCCCACAATGCACCTGTCTGACCACGTGGTTAACTGTAAACTCCTGTACCATTGGCTCCAAGAGGGTGACATCCTCCACAGGGTTATGTGCCTAAGTGACAAGGGAGGACACATTGTATCCTTTGATTCTTCATTCATAAAGGCTTTGGCCATTAAACACACACCTTGATGGAACAATCTATTTCAAATATAGACTGTACACAAGGAAGAGGAACTACACTACTGTAAGGTGTGGGGCTGGTTCCATCCTCAGGAACCAAGGATGGTTTGAAGGGCTGGTATCTTGCGAATCACCCACCCTTGAATTGAATCTTGTATGCTTCTGGGAATCCCATCAGCGATAAGACGTGTTTCTAGCCCTAGTAGATTGTGAGGTATCAGGCTTTAAAATCACAACATTCTGATTACTGACTGGTTTTTTTTCCCCAGCTCGCATGCATAAATATCAATTATGACATGGCTTTAGTAAACAGCTAGCACTGAAAACCAGCTAGTTGTACGGATTGTAATCAGGGAATTCCAGCTTCCGAATGGGGTAATGCATTAATCTCCAACTGTCGCAATTTGTGAGAGATTGGCTGCTAAAATTATCGGTAGAGGGAAAGCAAGGTGGTAATTGGAACACTGTGATTTTAAGATCCTGTATTGTACAACTTGCAATGGCTCTGGTGATACCAAGGGATTTAGTACGTTCATGAGCTTGTTTCCTCTCCCCTCTTCCCCTGATTAGAAGGCCTTGTTCCTTGACTAGTTGTTCAGACCCTGTGCAGAAAGCCTGCAGTGATCTCTGCAGTACAGGAGGAGCAAGTGGTGAGGAGCTTCTCTGAAATCCAACCTGGGATGCAGCTGGCTGGTTACGTGAGGAACATTATGTCCTATGGCGTGTTTGTGGAGTTCCCATTTGGTCTGGCTGGACTAGCCCCGAAAGCGGTAAGCTGGGTGTGACTTTCCCTCTTAAAGCACCATGTTTAGAGCCACATTTCTTGGGCCTGCAAGCAGGGCTGGAGGGCAGATAGACTGCAGCTCTCCTGCACTCACGCTGCCCCACCCACTGGGAGTAAAAACTGCTGCTGGGGTTGTATTTATAGAGTTCTAGGTGTCTCCGTGATATGGGAGGGAAGGGGCAGGAAAGAGCATGAAGGCAAATGGAGATGCTACAAGCGCTGAAAAGAGCCCTCTTTCCTAATCACGCCACGTGTCCCCCGCCACCTGTCTGCTGGCATATCTGGGACTGCAATGCAAAAAGCAACACTGCTACAGTGGGGTAGCTAGCTAGCACCCCATGGAGGAGATTGGGAATTGCGACTCCTCGATTCTGTTCTCAGGCCTGCCACTGGGCTGCTCTGTGACCTTGTGCCAGTCACTTAACCTCTCTGCCTGGGGGATAATACCTGCCAACATCAGAGAGGGATTGAAGCTTAATTGATGTTTGTAAAAATACGCTCATGAAAGGTGCTATAGTTTAATAGGATTGCTAAGCAGCTGCCTCTGCTGACCTTTTCCAAACAGGCCATGAGTGACAAGTTTGTGACGGACACCAAAGACCATTTTGTGGTGGGACAGACGGTGGTCGCCAACGTGACGAGCATGGACGAGGAGAAGCAGCGTATCCTCTTGTGTCTGAAGCTGTCTGAGGTCGGCTCGGAAGACCCCGTCGCTGAGAGCTTCTCCTTACTGAGCCAGTGCTTTGAGGAGATGAAGGAGGTCAGGGACATTATGAGCAGAAGAAGTAAGTTTGGGAACAGTGCTGCGAAAGCCATTCAGGTGATCACGTCATGACACTTAGCACTAGAAAAATAATGCAAGGCATAAACTGCCCCTTTGCCTTCCATATAAGAGAAAGATCAAAGCAAGCAATGGCTTAACTTGTGAGCCAGGTTTGTTAAGAGAGGAGGGTTTATAGAATGAGTCCAGGCCTTGAAAGGCTACAAACAGGAACAAAACTTTCTGGAACTCTTGTCAGGAGTGGACACAACTAGCAAACCAAGAGCCAGGCTGCGCTCCCATTGTAAGTCTGTGGGAGTTTTACTGTTGATTTCAGTGGGAGCAGGTTGAGGGCCTGAGCGGTTAAGAACAGAGGGTTAAGAGCTATGATGTCATTAGTCTTATGCTGAAATAGAATAGAAAGAGCCCAGGAGACATAGTGGGACAAAACTTGGTGCCTGCTAGTTCCTGGGAGGTGGGAGAAGAGCAGAATCCTCTGAGAAGGTTACTGGACCTTTCCATGCAGATCTGATTTATCCGATCAGTACTTGGATACTGTGGTCAAGGATACAGTAAGGAAAACCACATTAAAAAAAACCAAAAGGCAAAGGTGAAATCTACCTAACAGAGGGGAGGGGTTTGTGGTGAGCCAGCTTGTTCGTCTGCTGGGGAAAAGTATTTGCTGGCTGCCCCCCAGCCCAAGTAGACATGGGAAGTACTTCTGTATCTCTGAATGGCTGCTGTGCAGTGTCTATGTGCATACCAACCACCTACCGCCCAGACCTGAATGCCCTGAGAACCCTGGTCACCTGTACGTAGATGCCTCACCGCATACAGACGCACATACCAAAAGCAGGAACATTTGTGAGGGTATAGAACTGTTTTGTTTAGAAAAGAGGCACTAAATGCACTAATGCGTAGATACCAAGGTGATAGGCACCTTAGGAAATACAGATCTCACGTAGAGACTATAATAGACTGGAAATGCACAAAGAGGGCATTAGATGATCATTGGAAAAGACCTGAATTGGGCTGCATTAATACTATATGCCGTGCCTCCAGAAAAGCCTCGTTCCGTTCTAGGTTAACGGTCCTGGGACAGTAAATATCTCTAGTGATGGGCAGTGTGGTTTTGAATTTTTACCTTTTCATAAGTGTTTCTATCGGGATTAAGTTTTAATACTATTTCTTTGTGTGTTGGGGGTCTAAACTATCTAATTCTATACCTTTTTAAAGAAGGGCATAAAAACTCATTCTAAGCAAAGGTGAATCCTGCTTCTTTGGTTCTGCAAAAGATACAGTGGAAATAAAATCAACTCTCTACCTTTTCCCATTCTGTCGGTTTAGATCATTCCAAGGTGGCCCAAAACCTCTGTGGATTGATGCCTGGGCAGAAACTTGAGCTGGTCGTTCAGGAAGTGAGAGGGGATGGCTCAGCATTCTTCAACGGCAGCTGTGTTGCTGGGCTGACCGTAACAGCCACTCGCTATCACGTTGGAGGTTAGGAATTTCTTTTCTGGTCTTATTTCTTTGTGTTTCATCGTCACTGGGTAGGATACACAATGCTCTCAAACTGCTTTGTCTGGAATGAAATCAATTGCTGATTAAACAGTGAGGGGTGTTCCTTATTAGTGAGAATGGGATAGTGCAGGCGTGGGCTCCTGAGTTTCTATTTCTAGCTCTGCCACTGATCCAGAGCGTAGTTTGGGGCAGGTTGATTAAACCTGTCTGGGACTCCGTTGTCCTTATCAGTAAAATGGGGATAGTGCTCCCCTACCTCACAGGGTTTCTGTGAGGCTTAATTAGTCCATTGAGATCCTCAGATGAAAGGTGCTGTAGAAGGATAACGTATTAATGAACAGTTTTTAGTTTTTTCCCTTCCTCCTCTGGGAGCTGGAATATGCTCAGTTGCTGCATAATTTGTCTTTTGATTCAAGTAACTTTATTAAGCAAAACTGCAATTTCCAATACATTTTCATTCAAATAATAGCCCCGAAAAGTTTTTAAACAGAACTGAAAATTATCCTAGGCATTCAGAACTGGTTTTAACTTTGTTTTATCATTACTAACATATATGAAGTGTGTGTGCACATACACGCACGCACACCATATACAAAGTTTCCATACAAGTATTAGCAAATTTTACTCAAGCCTGCATTTGTTGCCTTTTAATAGACCCATTTGTGTTTAGTTACAACCTTCTAATTTGGGTATACATTTTGTTCAAATTCAAAATAATAACCATACATACAACGTGCAGTGTTACCTAGTGGAAGGAGCACTGGCCTGGGATTTGAGAGACCTGAGTTCTATTCCCAGCTATGCCTCTGGCCTGCTGGGTGACTTTGGACGAGTCACCTCCTTGCTCTGTGCCTCAGTTTTCCCCACTCTAAAATGGGGGTAATGGTACGGACCTCCTTTGTAAAGGACTTTGAAATCTCCTGATGAAAAGTTCTGTATACAAGCTAAGTATTATTATTTATTGTAAAACTGACTTGATCCTGCTGTAAGGTTGGCTGTCGTTTTTGTTTTTTTCCAGTGAAAAGCTAACACTCCCCCCACATTAGTGGCATGGGGGGAAGTATGGATCGGTCCTTTTTTTAAACCTGAGCTACTGCACGTCTGGCTGCTAGTAGTAACCATATTATGAATGGGTCCTTCCCTGACTCCGTAACCTCCTCTGGACTGTGAAACAGTTTTACTATTAGCATGGTAGCATTAGTAGCTCAGACTGTCCTTGAGTATGCTGCCCCTCGGCTGTGTCACACACCAGGGCCATGACTGGTAGAAATCCTTTGGGGCTATCCGCAGTTAATCTTCTTGTTTTTATAGACAAGAGTTTGGTCGCTGGTCAAAAAGCAAGAGTCTTGGTTCTCCATGTTGACGCCCTCAAATCAGCGGTTCACATCTCCCTTCGAGAAGAGCTGTTGAAACCAAAAGCCAAACGGGTATGTCTAGCTTGTGTTCTCTTATTCGGTCTCGTGTGTTTCTGTCCCTGTGCCAGGTATGCATTTACCTGGGTAATGGATTTTAAATAATGCTCAGGTGGGAAACGTTTCACAGAAGTGGCGGTGGGCGGGGAGAAGGGGCAAGAATGTCTTAGCTTGGAGTCCAAAGTTCCTGCAGATAAGTCACCATCTGTCTCTGTTTGACAGTTAACGGAAAACTCCCAGCACCCTGCGGTGGTGCAGCATGTAGCGGAAGAGTTTGCCATTGCCTCATTGGTGGAATCAGGTCAGCTGACTGCCATTCCTGTGGCCTCTCACTTCAATGACACCTTCCGTTTTGACTCGGAGAAGCTGAAGGTGGGACAGGCTGTCTCTGTAACCTTAAAAACCGTGCTGCCGGGTGACCATGGTGTCCTGTTAGCAGTGCAAGGCCCAGCAAAGAAAAGGGCTTTTATAAGGTCCCGGAAAGAGTCAGAGACAGTAGAGGAGGGCCTGGCTGCAGTGAAACACTCCCTGTGCTTCGGAGATGTGGTCAAGGGAACGGTGAAGTCCGTCAGACCTACCTACGTGACAGTTGCCATTGATGACAAGCTAACGGGCTCCATCCACACGTCCCAGATCCTGGATGAAGTCCCCATAGGCACCTTTCCAACCTCCAGGCTGAAAGCTGGGCAGAAGGTGACTGCCCGGGTCATTGGAGGCCGAGATGTGAAGACCCACAGGTAGAAAAAAAACTTCTATGTCACTTCCAGGGGAAGCAGGTGGTGGAGTAGTAATTTAGTTCAGATTAACCAGGTCTCTTCCTCTGTGTCGTCCAGGCATTTCGTATTCCAGCTATGCCTGCTGGAGGTGATGAGGCCCTAAGGGAATCTTCCCCTGTCATGTTCCATGCCCCGACTTGTGGGGGGTTCAGTACTGTGGTGGGCTAGCACATTATACTTGCATCACTGCAGATTGGCATTTTATCCCTGGCTTAGATCACAGGTAGAGAGTCTGGGGTCTGCCTTAGTCAAAGCTCCCGTTGACTTCCAATGGAGCAGAAGCTAGTCCCAAGTGAAAATTAAGGGCCTGATTTCAGAGGTAACGAAACTTGCAACTCCAATCTAATTTCAGTGGAATTTAGGCACCTTATTCCCTTAGGTTTATCCAAAAACTCCGGTCTGAGTGCCTAGCACAGCTGGTCATCTCACAGATGATCGCGTTTCAGCATCCCAGTATGAGGAAGGAGGCTCCTCAAATGTAGGCCGAGAAAGAGGATAACTCTGCTTTGGGAGGCAGAGCTAATCTGCCCAGGGTTTGCTGCCAGGACTGGTCCGGCAGCGGCTCTGTTACAGAGCCAGCACCGGGGATGGTGCCCTAGGAGTGTCTCATTTTGGAGTGGACGGGTGTGAGGAAAGGGCTGAGCCCCAGAACTGGGAGGCTGTTAGTTTTAAGAGTGCTCGGGCTTGTGCTGGGCTGGTAACGGGCCAGGGAGAGAGATGGAATTGAATGGTTTCCTGTGTTGCAGGTATTTGCCCATCACCCATCCACACTTCACTCAGTCCGTTCCAGAGCTCAGCATTCGACCCAGGTAAGAGCCGCAGATTCTGTCCTAGCCTCCTGCCCACCTGGGTTAATGTTTGTAAAACGCCGTGAAGCTGGAAAGTGCCAAGTACCGAATTCCACCCTGTCAGCTGTTGCTGGGGAAGTGCTGGCCCTTTGGGGAAGGGAGAAGGGTGGCAGCATTTGGGATCCACAACCCCTGCGTGCCACAGAGCTCTGCTCTGCAGAGGCTCCCTTGCCCTCTAGCCTACGGAGGATACGAGGAGCAGGCCAGGAACCAGGAATCCGCGAGACAACAGGACACCTGAGCATATCGCTCCCTTCTTCTTTCCAACTCTGTTCTGGCCACTACAAGTTAAAGCTCCTACTGCTCCTCTAACACACCCTTGAGCTGCCTACCACGCCTAGCATGGGGCATGGGTCAAACCACACCCTAGTGCTTCTCTCTTCCCTGGGGGGGACTTGCTTTAAATTGTGGGAGTTCCTACACTGTGCAGAATAAGGGAAGAAAGCTGGGGGGGAAAGAGAGTGGGGATGAACTTTACAGAGATGCTGCCCAGGGGATATTTCATCATCATAAACAGTCTCCTGGATTCACAACGCGTCCATGCACTGCCTGGAGCTGGAACCCTGGCACTGTAATTTTTTTCCATCTGTTCCTGTCTCTTCCCTTTGCGAACAGTGATCTGAAGGGGGATGGCGGCACAGCCCTGAGCCCCGAAGGAGACAGTCCCAGTGAGCGGCTCAGGCCCTACAAATCTGGGCAGACGGTGACCTGCTTTGTGAAGAAGGTGAGATTCGGAGGCTTCCAAAATAAATGCTGGGAAAGGACCAGCTATCAAAACGTAGGGCCTGGTTCCAGCCCGTAGTCTGAAAAATTCAGACACCCCAGTAAAATGCTGGATCGGTGCATCCAAAATCCAGCCCTAGTCTTTGACAACAGAAGGAAATAGGAAGGAGCAGAGGAGACAGGCTGGCATCACAGCCTGTTTGTCCCCAGTGCAATGTTCCCCCCGCTTCCCCAGTGCTCCAGCAGAAGGTCCTTTTGGGGGAAAACTGCCCCAATCCCAAATATGACAGATGCTGGAACACCTGAGCCTTTGTGTGAGAATCACTGCAGTGTAACAGCAGACCCCGTAGTAGCAAGATATCACTGGGGCCAATTCATGGTTCCCTCCCACCCAAAAAGCCTCTTTGGTAAGGTGGCTTCTGTCAGTTTCTCGGTCTGCAGAGAATTCCAAACGCTGATTTCCCTCTTCGGGGAGACTCCTTCCTCTCCTCTGAGAGCACAAAGAAGCACCTCTCCTGTCTGAGTCCTAATCAATAAGTGATTGGGATCAGGGCCGGAAATGCTGGGGGAGTTTTTGCGGCTTGTGGTATGCAGGAGATCTGGCTAGATAATCATAATTGGACCCTTCTGGCCTTGATCTGTGAATTTTTCTCTCTCCAATGAATCCATGAAGCTTCTTGTAAGTCTAACATTTTCTCTTCTGTGGCTGGTTGGTTCCCTCTCAGTACAACACCATAAAGTCGTGGCTGGAGGTGGAGATCACCCCTGAGATTCGAGGGAGAGTTCCCCAGTTGCTGCTTTCCCTTAACCCCAAGGTAAGTTCTCGCCAGAGAATCAAACGCACAAAGGTTTTGCACACACGAGGCTGTGAGCACCCAAACACAAAAGTGTCTCAAGCAGCCTCCAACCTTTTGGTTCCTCTTTGCTTCCTGATCTGGTGGCACAGGTGGGGCTGGGCACGCTCTTCCTCTTTCAGCCTGGATAGCTACTTCATAATGAGTATTGTTGACTTGGTTATTTTTAGAGATATGTTAGCTTGTGAACGTCATTAGCTGGTTTTCTTTTCAAAGGGGAACTGCAGAGGTTCCGAATGAAATGCCAGATCGTTAGCAGAACAAATCAGATCTATTTGCCTCTTAATAAAAATATTTGGAAATCGGTTCCTTGCCGAGTCCTTTTACCCTTCTCTCTCTCTCCTCCACCTTGCCACATTGTAGACTAACTCACTGTGCATCCTCTGACTCTTTAGAGTTGTCTTTTTTTTTATATTGGCAACAAGATAACTAATATAATAATAGCTAGCTCTTATGTAGTGTTTTTCAGCAGTAGATCTCAAAGCATGTCGGCATCATTATCCCCATTTAACAGATGGGGAAACTGAGCCACAGGGTGGCACATGACTAGCCCAAGGTCACCCAGCAAGCCAGTGGCAGGGTTGGGAATAGACCCAACGTCTCCTGAATCCCAGTCCAGTGTTTTGTTTTGTTTTCCATGGGGCCAGGCTACCTCCCTAAAATGTGAGCAGTAAGAAACGCTGTGCTTACCGCTAGATTTATCCAGCGTCACAGTGCCATTTCTTTATCAGGGTTTAATAGATGCGCAGAAGATGCCTATAATGCCAAGTGTAGATCTTGAAATGTCCTGAGATTACCTTGGTTAAAATCAAGATCAGTGGCTGAAGTCCCTGGTAATGAGCGGAGGTCTCTCTACCCTCAGGTCTTAAAGCATCCAGAAAAGAGCTTCAAGAATGGCCAAGCTTTGTCTGCAACAGTGACTGGCACAGATGCCTCTGAGACCAACCTCTGCCTGTCACTTACAGGTATGGTAAAGCCTTGTTATCTGCAGTACCCTTCCTGTTAGAGTTCCACCATCTGCTCAGCAACTAGAAATGGTCCTGAACTGAAACCATGGGATCAGAACGCTGCAAGGCAGAGCCAAACTTTGTTTCTTTATCCTGGGCAGAATTAACACCCTGAATCTGGATCCAGAGTTCAAGGTGTTTTGGTTTTCAGACTCAGCCTGTACATAGAGGTTCAAACCTTTAGACGAACGCAGCAGTTCTCCTTCTAGGTGTGTCAGGCAGAGGCCTCGTCTCTGCTCTCTTCTGAAGCAACTTGGCTTCTGACTAATCTCCATCAGACACCAGGTGGCACGCAAGCTGTTCACCAATTACTGGGGCGGGATCTGGGTATAATGGGTCCAGGGTCATATCTGGGAGGAAGGGTTGTGAATGGTTGAACATGGCATCATTGTTACAAAAGGGATTGTGAACTGAGAGAGCCGCGCAGGCCCCACATGGCCAAAAGACTGTGGGGATGGTAGGTGACTGGGGAAGTAATGCCATACCTCCTTTCTATCCACTTGACTCCCTTACCCCAAGTGTTCAAGCTTGGAATATCTCCCCCCTTTGTGGGGTCCGGCTGAAATAACCCCTCTGAAATCCCCGTGCTCTTGGCAGGAGTCCATTCGCTGGCGGAAGGAACCATCACCCTGGGCACCATAACGAAGGTGACGCCAAATGTCGGCCTCACCATTGCGCTTCCCTTCGGAAAGACCGGCAAAGCCAACATCTTTCACCTGAGCGATTCGTACACTGAGCAGCCGCTAGAGAACTTCAGCATCGGGAAGCTTGTCAGGTCAGAGATTCTCCTCTTCTCCTGAAGTCTCTTGTTGCCTCTTCAAGTGGGGGGCTGGAAGAATCCTTCAGCAGTGACGAGATCCCCAGTGGTTTGGTTTAGCAGCAGCACTGAGGGGTTTTCCTTGCATTCCAGCTGGAGTGTTACCCCTTCCGGGGCAAATTGTAAAGAGTTAGAGGGCATATAGCTCTTCGGCTCCTCTAGGGGAGAAGGTCGTAACCTTACATTTGTAGCTGCTTGGGGCCGCTGCCTGCTTCCTGTGTGCCCACTTCCTTCAGTCCGCTTTTCAGAACCCATTTCTTAAAGAAGAAGGGTGTTGCAGTGCTTAGGGTGCTAATTTGGGACTTGGGAGACCTGCGTTTAATTCCCAGGACGTTGGACAAATCACGTACACCCTAAGTTCCCTCTAAGCTGCACTGCCACGCAGCAGCCTCTCAAGGGCCGCAAAGGTGCTCAGGGCTTCAGCAGGGAGAGGCACCTCTCCCCCAGCCACACAGCTTCTGGAT